AATGTGTCTGAGCATTTTGTGTCAGCCTTATGGTGTGATTTTAGAACCATATCAGTGCATTTGAGTAACAATTTTAAATGTACCTACTGAACTTCTTCCTGTGCCAAGCAAGCAACTGTTTGGGGCATGACAAAATGGAGAATGGGATAGACCCTCTGAAGAAAGAGGAATCAGATCATTCTTTGTCTACTCAAGTTCACGAAACAAAACCATGCCTACTCACAGAACAACCAGGGGTATGAAAATGTAGTGCCTCTACAATAGGATAAGCCTATGACTGGCATTTACTGAAAAGTCCCCTTTGGTATTCAACCCAGGAATATGGCTGCCAGGAGCACCACACAGTGGATACTTTTGCCACTGCAGGACCTCATGAAAAGGAGAAGCAAACAGGGTGCTTGCTCTGGCTCCATGGACTCCGGACTCTGTCAGATGGCTGGCAAGACACTCCCTCTGAGAGTTTTTTGCAAGAGAGTCAGCCAGGCTGAATGCCTTTAGAAGAGTCACTTGGTGGATAGTCTACTGTCATCTATTTGGAAAAGCAGGACCTTGAGAAAGGAGGACCCAAGGCAGGACGTATTGGTAGGGACAGAACGTTAAATTCTGGAGACTTCCTAGCCCAGAATGTCTGGAAGTTGGGGTGAGAATCCCAATGCCAACATGTATAGCCATGCCTCCTGGCCACTGTGCCATGTGGATTAGCTCATTCACTCCCCAAACCCTACCAGGTGGGTATATTCCTCTCTCTCTCTCTCTCTCTCTCTCTCTCTCTCTCTCTCTCTCTCGTATATGTTTGTACAGGTGCATGTGCACATGTGTGCATGCATGTGGAAGCCAGAGGTCAACTTTGTCTTTATCACTCTCCACCTTATTTTTTGAGACGGGATCTCTCAAAACCTGGAGCTGATTCAGCAAGATTAGATAGCCAGAGAGCTCTAGGGATCTCCCCCTGTCACCACCTCCTCAGCAACAATTACAGGCACAAACCACTGCATCCAGCTTTTTACATGATTGCTGGGGATCCAAACTCAGGTCCTAATGCTTTCACAGCAAGCACTTTAACGAGTGAGACATTAGCCCAGCACCACCTCCACTCTGTTTTTATAGATGAGGAAACAGACACAATGAGATCTCAGAGCCAAGTGGAGAGCTGGGATTCTAAGCTGATTAGTCTGATCTAGAGCCTGAAGCTGCTTAAACCCTCCCCCTATCCCTCTGGCCCTCAGGGTGGAGGAGTACAGGACTACTCCACAGTTTTCTTTACACCCAGAGCCCAACACCCTGTAGGTGACTACAGATCATGAACTGAACAATGGGATGCAGAGTGCTTCCAGAACAATCTTTTCCTACCCAGAATCCTTTACAGAGCTTATCTAATTCTCCCCAAACCTGGGCCTTGCCCCCCCCCCAGCCCCACATTTCCTTTGAGTCTAAATATAGACTTCCCCTTATTTGCCTAACTTCAGACTCATCACCCCTGGTCCACAGCCATCTGGGTTCTGTCTTCTTTTGTACAAAAAAGCCTTTGTCTTCTTAGGAAAATGATCAGGTTCTGCCCATAAACATATCCAGCTTAAAGGGCAGTGGGGAGAGAGTGCCTCATGGAAAATGAAAGCAGCACATTTCTTTGCATTTGAATACTTCCAGGATGTTAGCTTGGCAGCAAACCAACTCCAGGATGGACCCCAGCATCCTCACTGTTCGTTGTGCCATGGATCAGCGCAGGATCCACTGAAGCTAACAGACCTCATAGAATAGATATATGTTAATGTACACAATCAAATCCAGTGGGATTCAATGATATAGACAAAGATTCAAAGCAAAAGATTTGTGGTATAGTAGCAGAGTGTGCTTTAATTTGTGTTAAAGCACAAGATCCAGCATTGGGCTGAACTTCTTATCTTTTTGAAATAATGATAGTCACAAACAGTATGTCCCCATGTCTGCAGCTGCTGTCATGTAATATGAAAATATCTGTGGTTTCTGTTGGTGATAAAGTGGCAGGTGCCACTAATGTTAATGAGGTTTATCACTCCAGTTTACCAGGAAGGAAATGCTGAATTTCAGTGAGAAGTTAGGGAAAATAAAGATGGACTCTTCTTCCTCCCTGACTCTGCATTCTAGAGAATTCCAGCCCTTGCAACTTGGGCCTGGGACGTCTGACCCTGTGCTTGCATGTGTAGGGAAGGAAGATCAAAGGCAGTTTCAGAAATGATGGCCCCTCCCCATGGCTCCTGTTGACTCTCCCATTGTCAAGGCTGGAATTTAATCATTTATAAATCAATCCTCCCAGTAGCTGATCCTCTGAGAACACTCACTATGTACCTGTCGCATGCTGAAAGAGTATTTCCAACGTGCTCATGAACGCTAAGTGCTGTGACCTTTCATACAGATGAGGAAGATGAGGCTCAGAAGCTGAGAGAAGAGCTGCCAGTTCCAGGTCACAGGTCTGTCCTATGCCCCCGGATTTCCTCTAAACCGTGTGCATTACACATGTGCCCAAACACATTTTGCTTTGTTTCTTTTCTGAGGCAGGGTTCTTGCTACATGACCCCTGGAACTTGCTATGTAGCCTAGACTGGCCTCAAACTTGCAATCCTCCTGCTTCTGCCTGCCTGATGCTGGGATTATGTGTGTACTGCCACAGCCCTCCCCAAATACATTTTATTTTTTATTTGAGATGACTCATGATAAAGTTGTGATAACAACTGTCTGCCCAACATGCTACACTTAAGAATCTATCATCATCATCATTACCACCACCACCACCACCACCACCATCAAAGCAATGACTAATCCTAACTGCTTATGTTATTCCAAATAGTGTTCAAAGGACTTAACTCATTTAACCCTCTTAACAACAGGTTGCTGTGGTTCGAATGTAGTTTGTTCCCTACAGGTTCATATATTGGAAGCTTGGACCTCAGTGTGCTGATATTGGGAGGTGATGGAACCCTTACGGGGGCCTAGAAGATAGGCCATTGAGGAGCCATTGTCCTGGGAAGGAATCAACTTCATTCAGGATTTGTGGAACTCCAAATAGTTCTTACAAGACTGCATTATAAAACAGCTAGCCTGGCCCACTCTCTTCACCCATGCCTCCACCAGGAGGGTATTCACCACCCTGTGATACAGCAAGGCTAACTAGATGGAACCACCCAATCTTACACTTCCAGCCTCCAAAACTATGAGCTAAATCTCATTTCTTTACAAAGTATCTAACCTCAGGTCTTTTATTATAACAATGGAAAAGTAACTAATATACAGGTCATATTATTGTCTTCATTTCAAAAATGAGGATTCCAAAGTCAGGAAAGTTATAACTGGGGATGTAGAGATGGCTCAGTGGCTGAGTACTTGCTGTTCTTGCAGAGGACCTGGTTTCAGTTAGTTCCCCACACCCACACTGTGTGGCTCACAACCACCAGTAACTCCAGTTCCAGGGGATCCAGTGCTCTCTTCTGGCCTATGTCCCATAGATTTTCATAGCGAGCACACCACCCAGATCAGAAAATAGAAACCTTTCCTTGCCTTTTCCCAGTCGCTACCTCCCCATGGCCACCAGCACCACTGCCCTATTTTGAATGCCTGTAAATGCCCTTTCATTCATTACCTCTTTGCTCTCTCATCTCATAATGAATGACCTCAAGGTCTAAGTAATAGCTTCTTATTCCTATTTTACCCATGAGGAAATTGAGGTATCTCCAACATCCCAGTTATCCTCTGATAGCCCATTCCAGCATGTGATAGAAGCAGTATTCTAACGCAGGTCTTTGGGGATGATTTCGGTTTCTGCTCTGTAGTGTATGTCTGCAGTAGAATGCAGACGTACAGTGGGGATTGGGGATCCTTGTGTGAACAAAGCATCCCACTGCCCTAATCCAAAACTTCCTGTCTTTGCCCATGCTGTTCCCTTGGTTGGCAGCAGCACCTCTTCCCCCAGGTGTTTGGTTTTCTTTTTCAAGGCTCCACTGTCACCCCTGGACAAGGCTGCCTCCAACCCAGGCATGCAGCCCCTGGGTGCTGCCTTCCTCTCTCTGCCTCCTGCTCTGTATTCTACACTCATGCACATGTTTATTGGTCATCTTCTTCTACTAGGCTGTACATTCCATGAATTATAAACACTTTTCCAGGGCTGGAAAGCTGGCTTGGTTGGTAAGACGTTTACTGCACAAGCATGAGGACCCGAGTTTGGATCCCCAGCACCTACATAAAAGCTGGACACACTGAGTCGCACAGACAAGTGGATCCTGGGGACTTGCTGGCCAGACAGTCTACTAAAACAGCAACTCTAGATTCAGTGAGAGAGACCCTGTCTTGAAAAATAAGGTGGAGAGTGATAGAGGAAGACACTCAATGTCAACTTCTGGTTTCTGCAAGCATAAGCTTGGGCAATTCTACCTGCACACACATACATACACACATGCATATACCATGCACATACACAAATACTTTTTCATCCTTTGCTGCTTTATTCCTAGATTTATATGGTGTATGACAGGTACTTGATAAATCTGAAGTGAATGGAGGAATTAATCAATATCAAATTTCCCCCAACATAATACAAAATGCTTCTAAGAGGGTAGGATATGGAGAATTTAAATCCAGGGTTTTGTTCACTGAATCTTTGTGCTGGCCAGCCAGTCTCACTGAATCTGGAGTCTGTTCCTTAGCTGGGACAAAGCCTGGAGGTTGCAGTAGGGGGAAGGGGCCAAAGATAGCAAGGCACCTCCTCTGCTGGTCCAGACATGAATAGACTCTTGACCCCCCTGCTACAATGGTTGGACCAATGGCCGCCCACTAGTGACTCTAGCCAGCCAAGATGCCCAGTCCCAAAGCATCAGACAGGAGAACCATCTACCAGCTCAGAGGTGACAATAGGGCTCCTGTGTGCTACAGGCATTGGGGAGGGTGTGCATGCAGGCAAATGAGCCATAGCACACACAGATATAAAGGCCTGCAGCCAGCAGGCCTGGGCTTCCCCACTAGTGCTCACCAGGATGGAAGGCAGCCCAGAGCAGCTCAACCTGGGCAAGGTGCCAGGAGAGGCAGGGGACAGCCAGGCCTTGGTTGAGATCCAGGAGCTGGCCCTGAGGTGGTTCATGGAGACACAGGCTCCCTCCATCCTGCAGAATGGGGCTCTGCCCCCCTGGTTTCATGGATTCATCACCCGCAAGTAAGGCTGCCCCTGACCACATGGCCAGCAGGGCCCACAGCCCCCCAGGGCCAAGAACATGGCCCAAGGATTCTAAAACTTTGGGCTCCTGCTCTTTCCCTGCACTATGCAGGGTCCCTGGGGATGGAAGGTGGTGGTGGAGGTCACAGACTAAGGAAGCTACACTTTCTGGGAGCAGCTTCTGAGGGCAGGAGTGGAACGCATTTCTCTGGTGGGGTCTGTAGCTCCCAGGCTGTGGGAAGGACAGAGAGTGGGCCAGGTGAGAGTTGGGCATGTTTAGGCCAGCTCTGAATACTTTGATGAATAGCTAGGTGATCAGGTCATGTATGACCAGCTCTGGAATGCTATTGTAACTAAGCTGGAGAACTGGCCAGGCAACCCTGGACATGTGGTTATCCTGGCATAGGGGCCAGAACGTAGGATTTAGCCCTCTAGTTGGGCTGGATCATCACACCTCCCAAGCAATAGATGGAGGAAGGAATAAGAGACACAGCCAGTCACAGGTCCTGGCCCAGTGCCTGACACAGCACCAGGCACAGCTTTATGGACCAAGCAGGGCTCTGTGCTCAGGAGGAACCTACTCCTGGTTTAATGCTCTACTTTCACCATCTTGGAAAGTAGAGCGTTACTTTTGGAACAAGCCCCCTGCCCCCCGACCCATAGTCATTTGGAACTGATCCCTGCAAATTATGAAGCTGGTCCTAACTACAGTGGGCAATCTATTAAGCATTTAGTGAGTAAGCAGGTGAGGAAATATCTGGTATGTGTACTGCCAAGCCAGAAGACAGTTGGAATTTTCCACCATGCCTCCGAAATACTTGGCACCATGTAGAAGGACATGAAGGGGGTGGGGTGAGTTCCTATGAGCTGCTCTTATAACAAAGCTTGACACACAGCAGGAGCTCGTCCCTGAAGGAATTCTTGTGTAGTGCACATCTTGCACAACTGCACACAGTAGTCCCAAGAAAGGGATTATCCCCAGCGCAAAGGTCTGCAGCTATATGGAATCATTCTCACTACCTAGCTATTCAGGTGGAGAGTGGGTAGCTGAAGGCAATGACTAGAAAACCCTCTGGCGAGGCTGCAGTGAGGAGCAGGACGGTGCTTGTAGCCTCAGGATTCAAATCCAGGCTAAGACCAAGTCTTAAGTTTGATCTTGAGCCTGGAGAGACCACAGACTGCACCTTGTGAGACCTCAGAGCCAGTTAAGGTATAAGAAAGTTCTCTATTAAGAACTCAAAGTTTGTCTGGATCTGGGGCCCAAGGCCATGGCCCACAGGAATCCTGAGGCAGGTCTGATTCAGGCTGCTTAGGTGTTGGCAGGGTACAGACCACAGCTAATGGCCTGTCTTGTGCCCAGGCAGACGGAGCAGCTACTCAGGGACAAAGCTCTCGGCTCCTTCCTTGTCCGCCTCAGTGACCGGTCTGCTGGCTACATCTTGTCTTACAGGTAAGTGAAAAGCCCTCAGAGAAGGGACAGGCAACTTAAGGCACTAAAACCCAGTGCCTGCTTTGAGCACTGAGGCTAGGCAGCCCACTGCCTGGTTTTCACTGGTCCCCTGCTCCCTGATTTCCTCATTCATCCATCCCATGCTTGGCCAACCCTTTCAGAGTGGTAACACTAGCCATATGCTAGAGATAGCGCTGCAGCCTTCAGAGTGATGAGTTAGGTCAGGGAAAACATGTTCCCTATGGACAACTGGGAAAGGGCTCCTACAAGTGAACTCTGAGCCCAGTATAGGAGGAACAGCCATTTGCTAGTGGGAAGAAGGCATGGCTGGGGTGTAAGAAGGTACTTATCAAATATGGACTGGCATGAGCAGAAGTCATAGAGGGTTGGGAGCTACAGGTCTCTGAGTGCAGCAGGACACAGGCCCTGGGAGCCATGTCTAAGGAGAAGGGGCAGCCTAGGACAGCCTTGGATAGTAAGTCTGCAGACTATGGGGGTGAGGAGGACTGGAACAGACTTCCACTTTACCAGGTCCTTCCAGCAGCAGGAGGGAGGATTGGAGGAGGGAGGAATGTGAGAGGAAGGACTGCAACACTTTAGAGGTGTGGGGCTGAGGGGACCTGTGTCACTGACTGGATGTGAAGTGCTGAGGTCTAAGTTAGCGTAGGGCTGTGGTACCAGAGAGGAGACACAAGGCTAGGACAAAGTCAGAGGTTGTGATGTTGGATCCTGGCCTTAGAGTAGGCTGGGCTGGGAAGGCAGAAGCCTCCCGTTGAAGAGAGGCCAGAGATCCAGGGCAAATTTCCGAGACTTTAAATTCTGATTCAAAATTATTATGTGTAGAGACAGAGACTTCCCCAGTTCAGATCCTAACCTCAACCAAGCCTCTCTCTCTGTGCCTCTGCTCTGTCATTTGTAAACAGGGAATTTTCTAGTATCTACTTTATAGGATTGTTGGAAGTGCTCAATGAGATCATGCATTTGAAAGTGCCTACCACAGTGCACAGAACATGTAAGGACTAAATAAGTTTGTTAGTCATTGCTAAATACAACCCCACACCCATGGACCACACACTATCTAGGCACTTTGAAATATAAGGTCAACTGAAAGTGTCCTTTCAGTTTGGGGCTCTTCTTTATTTTGTGATACTTAGGGCTTTTCTCTCCCTCATGAGCTCTTAGACGGACTGTCACCTTACAAAAGATATCAAAATGCTGTTGCTCAGAGAAATACAAATAAACAGAAGGAATAAGAGGGTTCAGAAATGATTCAAAAACTGGTTCTCTAATTTGCATCAGAGGTGTGGCTGTAATTTCTGTTTTTTTTAATAATTGGCACAGGAGCACTTGAATGTCCAAATGTGAAAAAATAGTCATTGCTACATACGATATATAAAAATTAATACTGGATCATAGATCCAAGATGGAAAACAGTAACGTCTATAGAAGAAAACAGGAAAACATTTCCATAAGTAAATGAAAAGCCTATTAAAATAAGCAAAAAATTTCTTCAACAGAACACAAGAGCACTCACTACAAAAGACTGATAATCTGATTTCCTTAAAATTAAATAAAAGATCAAAAGATACCATTAAGGGAAGGAAAGTTCAAAGCATGGTCTTAGAGAAATTAGATATTGCAATACAGATGTCTGAAAAAAGGACTCATCTAAAATATATGAAGGACCCTTACAAATAAATAAAAACAGACAATTCAATAAATAAAAGCTAAAGACTTGAACCAGTGCTTCAGAAAGAAATATCCAAAGACCCATAAACATAAAAAAAAAAAAAAGCATTTGTCAGAATTAGTTACCAGGGTAACACAAATTAAAGTCACAAGGGCTAGCAAGATGGCTCGGGGGTAAAAGTGTTTGCCGACAGGACTGATAACCTGAGTTCAATCCCTGACCCATGTAAAAATGGAAAGAGAATCGACTCCACAAAGTGGTCCCCTGACCCCCACAATATGCCATGGCACACGCATCTATGCACATACATCTATGCACACACAATAACAAATGTTAAACATTTTTAAACACACAATGAATGGGTAAAACGGAAAGACAAGTGATAACAAATCATTGGTGAGGATATGGAGCAACTAGAACTCCCATACACTATGACAATTCTAGGAAATGGACAGAATCTACTAACACAACAGTACCCTTGACCCACCAGTGATTCTCTTTAGCTTATGCTCAGTAGAAACAAGTGCACACACTGAGCGATAAACACAGGGATGTTGACAGCAGCTGTATTTATAACAACATCAATAAGGAAATAAGCTAAACACCCATCAATAGAACACAGAGACTGTGGCTTTTCCATGAGATGAAATAAATACTTCACATAAATTTTGAAAGAAGTTACAATAAATATCTTACTCCCCCCCAAAAAAATTGAAAGAAGTTTGTTCTATATGGACCTCAGTAAATCTGAAAAAATATGTTGAGTGAAAGAAGTCAGATACAAATGAGGAACTTTGCATACTTTTATTTGTCTGAAATCCCATAAAGGAAGAAACTAACCTATGGTGATGGGTCAGGAGGAGGCTACCTGTGGGGTATTGGCTGGGCGAGGCCAGGCAAGATTTTATATCCTCATCTGCCTGGTGGTTACATGGGCATTTTCATGTGTGGAAATTTATCTTGCTGCACACCCATGATGTATGCACTACGTGTAAGTTGTTCTTCCATAAAAAATGAAAATGAAGAGGGTGGGGCTTTACATGCTGGTGGAAGGTGATGCCATTGTTCCAGAGGGTGGGGACAGGGTGAGGCTGAATGGTAAAGATGGAGGGTTGGATTTTGTCTTTACTTCAAGCTTTGATATTTTCTTCCTCATGGATTTTTTTGCAATAATTTTTATCTTCTAAAATACTGATTTAGCCAGGCAGAGTAGCTTACACCTACAATCCAAACCCTCAGGAAGCTGAGACAAGAGGATTCACCTGAGTTTGAGGCTAGCCTGGACTGTATAGTTTCAGGACATCCTGAACTACAGAGTGGGACCTTATCTCAAAAATAAGTAAATAAATGAATAAATAAATATGATTGGGTGCATGGCATCAGTACAGCAGTTGCCTAGCATGAGGTCCTAAGTTTGATCCCAGTGTCAGTGTCAGAACAAACAAAAAATTGCATTATTAAATTTCTTGATGAATGAGGTTTTGGTACCTCTTTACATTTTTAAAAAAGAATTATTTTTATTTTATGTGTATGAGTTTTTTGCCTGAACATATGCATGTGCAGCACACGTGTGCAGTGCCTGAAGAGGCCAGAGGATCACCTGAAACTAGAGTTACAGGTGGTTGTGAGTGCTGGGAAAGAATCCAGGTCCTCCACAAGAACAGCAAATGCTCTTAACCACCAAGCCAACTCTTCCACCCCACCTCTTGAAAATTTGTGCTCAATGAGTGTCTTACTTGATGATCCTAGACCCTGTCCTGAGCTCCCCAACTCCATCAGAGGAAACATAGGCCCTTCCCAGGCCCCCAGTCATTTGAAGCCTCCCCCTAGCTCTCTGAGGAGCACAAAGATGCACATGGGGAGGGCGGCCCTGGGTCAGATAGGTCTCTATGGGACAGAGAGGTGAAGTCCTCTTCAACATGCAGGTGCAGAGCTGAGCCACCTGTGGCCAGCAGTCTAGTCCAGCCTTGTGCTTGTGTTGCAGGGGCAGTGATCGCTGCCGCCATTTTGTCATCAATCAGCTCCAAAACCGGCGTTACCTTGTCTCAGGTGATACCCTCAGTCACAACACTCTGGATGAACTCCTACGCCATTACCAGGAGGTGCAGCTTGAGCCCTTCGGGGAGACCCTGGCTGCTGCTTGTCCCCGGGTAGGCACTCCTCTTCCCTGGGTGAGGGCAATGTGGTAGGGTGTCCAGGCTTGGGGTGGCAATCACACAGGCACATGCCTTTCCTGGCCTTTCCTATTTACTGACATCCAGGGCACTCAGAGGAGGACCATGGTCCCAATTCAAAAAGTGTTTTACCCAAGGTCAGGAGCCTGGCGGGTATTTTCAGTTTTCTCCTGTAGTCCCTGGCAGGCAGCCAGAGGTTAGCAGTGTATGACCACATGCCCACATGTCCCCACTGCCTCCAGCTACAGGAAAATGATCTGTACGATGCCATCAACGTGGGCCTCCAGCAGACCAACCTGGGCCTGGAAAATTCACCTGCCATGGCATCCCCCACAGCGGTCCCTGACAAGGCCATCAGTCCCAGTCTCCCTGCAAAGCCTCAGGTCTCCTTCCTGCACACCAAGAAGGGCCTGGATGTGAGTTCCCGGACCCTCTCAGAGGAGGAAAGCATAGAGGTGAGGATGATTCTGGGCTGCGAGGTTGAGGACTGCTAGGTCAGAGATATGGAGCCACACCACAGTCTGGTCCCTTAGGGCTCACTAGGCCAGTCTCTTCAGATGTGGAGGGTGGACATTAGGCCCAGGGTGATAGAGGCACAGTCTGGAGTCACCCAGTGATCCACCAATGCTATGGTCTACCCTGGGAAACTGGACTGTTTTCAAGCCTAGACATAACCATCTTCCCACTGTGTGACTTTGGGTAAGTCATGCAATCTCTCTGAGCCTATTTACCTTTCCCAGGTTCTTGTGAGGTTTGAAAGAATAGTTATCAGGTACCTGAAAATCACCTAGCAAACTGTAGAATCCCGGGGTGTCTGAGTCAATCCTTTGTTTCTCTCCCCAGCACCTCATAGGAGGGGCTCAGAGAAATTTTGTTAGATACATAACCACAGACCAAGGATTGTTAAGAATCAAACCTAGGGCCGGGTGTGGTGGTGCGCATCTTTAGTCCCAGTACTTGGGAGACAGAAGCAGGCGGCTCTCTATGAGATCAAGGCCAGCCTGGCTTATATAGTGAGTTCCATACCAGCTGGGGCTACATGGAGACCCTGTCTCAAAACAAAAAACAAAAAAACAGGCTTTCCTGGCAGGCCCCATGTGGCACCTGTGTGCTCACTGACCTTTTCCTACCTGCTGTCAGGATCTGGTGTGGCCTTGGTTTGGTGGAGATGTTTCAAAACTTTATTAAGAATCTCTGGATCCCCATGAAACCAGATTTACCAGGAAATTTGGGTAGTGGGGTTGACGTCCTTCATTGTTTAAAAAATCAGGAGTGCTGACAAAAAAAAGTAAAGCTTTGAAAGGTGCCACACCTGCTCTTGGTCACGGTCATGGTCATGATTAACCCGCTCCCTGAGTACACACAAGATGAAGCCTCACTCAGCCTGTAAATTTAAGCAAGCTGTGTTAGTTGGGAACATCAAACATAACTGTACACTTGTCTAAGTGCCATCACTTATGTGGCATCAATAAATGTATCTGTGACATACAGAAGACTCAAGTTTGAATCCCAGCACCCACACAGCCGTAACTCCAGTTCCAGGGGATTTGATGGCCTCTTCTGTCCTCCGAGGGCATTGCACGACACGGGTGCACTTACACACATGCAGGCAAGACACTCGTACGCATAAAATAAAAATAATACTAAAAAAAAATTTTTTTTGTCTTTTTGTTGGTTTTTTTTTTTTTGACAGGGTCTCCCTAGTCACAGCCCACCTGGAAGTCACAATGTGAACCAGGGTAGCCTCGATCTCATAGAGATCCACCTACCTCTGTCTCCTGAGTGCTGGGTTTAAAGGCATGAGCCACTTTGCCTGGCATTATTTACTTTTAATTGCAGGCCAACATTCCAGGCCAGTTTTTCCTGCTTCTTGTCATTTCACCTGCCTCTGCCTCCCGAGGGCTGGGATTAAAGGCACATGCCACCACGCCCAGCTAAATAAAATAATTTTTTAAAAAAGACTGTACGTACAGCTCTAGGGCCTGGGACCCTGACGGTTAGGAACCAACTCTTTGATGTGACAGTCAGCTTGTTGACTTGAAGATATTGTAGCAATGGGGTGCTTTTTAAGAAGTTCTCTGTCCTTCTCTCCCAGGCTCCCATGAGGGTGCCCCCCTTACCCCGGAGGAGTCCCTCCCTTCTGGAGGAGCCTCCTACAGGCCCCAGTGACATCATCTATGCAGACCTGAGGAAGACGAACAAGGCTTGGCTAGGCCTGGGAACGGAGGAGTCTGGGAGGAATAGGCCAGCTCCAGCTGGCAACCTAGCTTGTTCCCCAGGCAAAGAGTCCTCAAGGAAACTCTCAGATGGAGATCAGAACAGGCCTGATGGCCCCGGGCCTGCCCCATCTGGAGCAAAGCCAAGCCAGGGATCTACAGTGTCTTCCACTTCCTTGGGGCTTTTCCTGCCTCCCAGTTCTGAGGCCCTGGGATCTCGGACTACTACCTGGAGGCAGGGGTTTCTAAAGCTGAGCCATGAGGCTCAGTCCTCCTCTGAGGCCAGCTCTACAGATACATATCAGCTTGTCGGGACAGCGGACCTTCAACAGGAAGCCAAGGAAGTACTAGGCCAAGGAGGCAGTCCTTACGAGCAGATTCCAGCCTGCTGGGGTGGCATAGCCAGGACCCCATACCCCGGGGTCAGTCCTGCATATAGCCAACTATCAAAACCCATGGACTGTGGCTATGAGAGGATCTCAGGGACCTCATGGTTCCCAGAGCCAGGGAACACCTATGAGCAAATCCCAGCATCCAAGAGCAAGGACACTGGACGAACGCACAAGGTAAGCTCACTGAGTGGGTGGGTGGCCACCAGTCTTTAGAGAGTACCTGGTGACAACAGGGAAGCTGTGGTTCTCATGCATGGGCAGAACCATCTATGGTATAGGGGTGGGAGAAGCAGCTGCCCACCTGAGAACTTTCTTTGCAGCAAAGCATGGCTCCCTGCGCCTCTTTCAGCCACTGTAGGGCTCTTGGAACCTCTGGGAGGTGGAGGAAGGCCCTTAGCCCTAGTCATGGGTAAGCAACTCCCTAAACTGTAGCTTTGGCCAAGACAGTTTTCTTGGTGACTGGGTTTGCCCAATTTAGCAAGGTAAAATACAAGGCATCTAGTTAAATTTGAATTGCACGTAAGCAACAAATACCATTTAGTATGTCTCAAATAACATGATGATTTCTTATTTACCTGAAATTCAAATTTAACTGAGCAGCCTGTGTTTTTATTTGACAACCCACCCTGGTCCTCTCCTCCTTATCACGTGGTTGTGTCTGAGGCAGGTGTCCAAGGCAGCTGACCAGGGGACAGTGCCCCACATCCTCTTGAGGCAGAACACTGCCCAGAGGTGACTCTTGGTGAACAAGGCTACTATTTCTGAGGATTTCTGATAAAGAAGAAAAGGAGAAAGTTGGAGGGCAGGAGGGCAAGAGGTGGTTAGGGTGGAGCTGGTGGTTCCCAGGGAGGCAAAGGAGCCTCTCCAAGTCCTTAACTGCCTCTACTTAAAAACAATAGGAATGGAAAGTCCCCTCTCTGGGGACACGGCCTCAGGTCCAGGATACTTGAAGCCCTCCTCTCCTGGCCTGAACAGGGACATCCTGAGCTTCCAGGCAAAAGGCCTTCATGAGAAGCATTCCAGCTCCTCCCCCAGAGCAGGACTGCCCCCCACCCCCCAGCGGCTTCTCAGGTATTTTTTCTCCCAGATTCAAGCAGTGGGTGGGCAGTCTTTTAAGGACCTCTGAAGCCAGGTCTGCATTTCCCATGGCTGCTGTCCTATGTCATCCAACCCTGGCAGTCCTGTATATAGTTCCTCCCCATCCTGCCTCACAAGGCCCCAGCTGAGTAGAGAACTGGGGACAGGGACAGCAGAGAGACCAGGGCACCTGGGGAAGGAAAGTGGAGTTCAGCAGTATTTTCCACTCTGTTCACCCACTCCTTCCCCACATGTCTTCTTTAGCTAGACAAAGGTAAATCCTTATCTTTAACTGGAGGGCTGAAAGTGGAGTTTCAGGCCCCAGGAGAACCACACCAGCATTCTATTCTGGTGTCATTTCCCGGTTTGGGCCCAAGCCCCAAGCCAATGCTAAGAGTTCTGAGCCTGGGTCTTTCCTTCTCTACTGGGGATCCCAGGCCCCAGCATCTTCTCCCTCCTTGCAGTCCGACAAATTCCGGAGGCTCTTCTTCACAGACAGGAAGCACAAATTCTGAGAAAAGCCTGACATCTAGAGGGTTTCCTGGTACCCAGCAACACCCTCAGCTCACCGGAAAGTGTGATTCAACCAGCCACCAAGAGCCAGGCTCTGAGACCCAGCCTAGATACCTTCCTGAGAGATGGTGGAAGGACCTTACAGTGGCCTGCAGCTCCTGGCTATGTCCTGCTTCCTCAATGCTTCCCATACAAGCAGTGGAAGGAATAAGGCCAGAGAGAATGCAGGGATTGAGTGGACATGTGGAGGACTGGGCTCGACTAAGCCTCCCTCCCACCTCAGAACACCTGTCAACCGTGTGGCAGGCCCTGGGCCAAGACAGACATTTTCCCAACTGGTGGAGTGATATCATGCAATTACTTCTAAGAACAAAACCAGTTCCTCTCCTTGTGGTCCTGTTAGAAGAAAGGAAGGGAGGACAGGAGCCACATCCTCTGTCTCTGTCCCAGAGGTATTAGAGCAAGAAGCTGGGGATACAGCAGCAAAGGCCTAACCTCAGAGGCCATGGTTCTGACCCCAGGGCAGGCCAGTCTCCCCAAAACTTCTCCTCTGGCCCCCATCTTCATCCCAGCCTCACCATGCAAACTCCTAGTTTGTACTGCAGATGAAGAAACTGAGGCCCAACAACCTATTTGGGGCCACAGATGGTCAGGGCCTAAGAAGACCCCTCAGTAAGACAGGATCAAGCTTGGGATGTGCTTCTGGGCAGCATCTGGAACCAGCCAGGGGACTTACGTGACCAGGTCACCCCCACCTACCCTCTGCTCTCAGCCAGTCCTGACCTTTGGAGTGGCTCTCAAACTGTCAATTTGGTGGCTCTGCCTCCAAGGATGCCCAGGGCTTTGCCTAGACACCAGTTTGAGAAGCAGGGCACTCAGACCTCTTGCTTCAGCTGTTTCCTCAGCCAGGCTGGCTCTTCCAGGGATCATTCCTGTTTTATACCACACCTCCTCACCCATATGTCCCCTCATCCATGTGTCCCCACCTCTGTAGAGTGAGCAACTGGCTTGCTGTCCCCTCTTCACACTGCCTCCAGGCAGAGGAGGCAGGACCAAGACCAACCAGCTCCTGACAGGAGACAACAGTCCCCTTTGCCAACTTTCCTCCACCAAGGTCCTGGGCAGACCTGGCTCAGGGCAGTTTGGGGGGAAAAGTCACTCCTTGGGGGACACTTAACTATGCAGCTTTTCCTCTGAACTCTAGAAATCCCTACTTGCAGTAGGGTGAAAGAGTAATGGGATTAACCTAGAACCTACAATGGAGGGCACTTGGAAGTTAACCAGACATAACTGTTACTTGTGAAGCAGAAACAACCCTCTCATTCAATGTCCTATGGAGACAACACTGAAAGCAAAGTTAGTGCCTGACACAGAGGGCAATGCTTTACCACGCACCCACCCAGGCTGAGGTTTTAAGAGCTGGGTAAAAATGTACCACTGAACAGTCCCAAAGCTGACACAGAAAGTGCAGGACACAAGAATGTTTTACTATTAGGAATTCACAAATCTGAGGTCAGCACACACCAGTGATGCCATGTCATCGGGGAGGTTGGGTTGAGGAGTGCTCATGACCTAGGGGCAGAGACAGGGGCAGAGCCCTTTGGACCCACCGCTCACACAGCTTCACATTGGGAAAGTGGGTGGGGAAGGAGCAGGCGGGAGTAGGGTACAGCCCAACCTTGGTTTTGGTAAAAGATTGCATAGCTTGTTAAAACCCCAATCTGTTTTTTGCATTGGATGACTGGGGTCTCTGCCCAGTACATGGATAAATCAGCCCCACCTCTCCTGCTGGGCTTTTGGTCTACCTTCCCCTCCTAGGGGGCCATTGCTAGATGATGGGAAGAGGACTAGGCAAGGAAGTGGTTGGGAGGGCCCACAAACAGGCTGTAGGTCCTGGGGCCAGATCGCTGGGGGCCCTGGAAAGGGCCCTGCTCCTCACAACCCCATTGCTGCTTTTGTTTTTTGGGGTTTTTTTTTTTTTGCTGAAAGGTCCACAGGAAATATCCGTGGGTGTGAGCCCCAAAGGCCGTAGCGCCTTTCCTGGAGCTCTTGGAACCATACCTACATAGACAGCAGGCTAGAGGGTGAGCTTCCAGGCCCCTGTAGCCTTGGCAGTATCCTCAGATCCGGATGTGGAAAGTGCTAGAAAGATAGAAAGGGCAAATAGTGTGAGAGGTAGCACTAGGTTAAGCAGAAGGCTCTGCAAGGAAAAGCTAACTTAGTCCTCATCAGTTCCCTAGGGGAAGCTGCATAGAGGTAGCTAATCACAGCAGAGATGGGGGTGGGGAGGGTGTTATACCAAGGAGCTGCTGTCCCCAAGTTTCCAGCTTCCCATGCATCATTGAAGGTCTTGATCTCTCTCATGAGAGTAGTCATGTAAAAGCCAGTCATGCATCAGGGGATCTGGGCCTTGAACTTGATCTGCTACTTTCAAGCCTGCCCTTGGAGATTCCATGAGACCAGGCTGTCAGCTGTGGCCCTAAAGGTCTTACCTGTTCTACCCAAGCCCAGCCCCTGGGGTGACAGTACCTGAGGAAATCAGGGGCCTTGGCGATCATGTCCTCAAAGTCTGCGAAACCCAGCTTGCCATCGCCATCCAGGTCAGCTTCCTCAATGACTTTGTCACACACGAGTACTACCTCGTCCTCATCCAGCTCTGACTTAGTGAGCCGGGCCAGTGTCAGCTCCAAGTCCTCCTTACAGATGAAATTGTCAGTGTTGAAGTCTGTGGGATCAGGTAGGATGGATGGAGATGTTCAAGACAGGGCTGGAGTCCCCTGACAGGTCTCGGGATCCTGTTCCATATTACCATTCCTTCTAGCTGGCCACAGTGATCTCTCCCCTAACCTCTGTAGTCCCTAAAACATCTCCAGGTACTTTTGGGATACTGGTTCTTGTCCCCAGCTGATAGGAACCAACAGGCTCACACATAAGGCATATCTTAAACACCCACAAGTCAACAAACTAACATTCAGAGCACCCACAAACCCCCACAATAAAGGTGTGTACAGGCAAGCCCAAGCAGTTCCAAATCTGAGACCCCCTGAGAACTTCCCACTCAAACAAATTGCCTTTGTGACCTCACCCCACAGTGAACGCCTAGAACCGAGAGAGCCAGGGCCCAGCTAAGTGCCCAAGTCCAGGTCAGAGATCCAATCAGAGATGGAGCAGGGATTCAACTGGGCCTATTTGACTCTAAGACCCACACTTTCTAAATGCAGCCTCATTGCCTCAGGCAGGCCTAGAGTCAGACACATACAGCTAATTAACACATATGTCATGCTATAAAGAGTAAGTATGTACAACTTCATCTGTCAATTAAAAAACAGAAGTCAAGCCAGGAAATGCAGGATCCCTCTAGAGAGGCCACAGTGGGGAAGACCTTTGTATATAGGGAATGTGGTTTGTGTCTACTGGGCAAAGGTACTACCACTGCCCTAAAGCACACCATGGTGGTTCCAAGGACTGAACCAGGTGCAGGCTCATCATGGGCAGCTCTATACCCTTCTTACCCTCTCAGCACAACTGCCGGGCTCTGTGCACATGGTTTCTCCTGCCTGTGGTGTCATCCTAGCAAATACCCATTCATCCTTCAAATTTCCTCAAACATCACCCCACAGATGGGGGCTTTTGAGACATAGGGTCTCCCCCATCCTTAGCACCAGCTGTCCACTGGGCTAGCATGTATGATAATGATAAAGACCTGAGCCACTCTTCCTCATGTAGTTTAAAACCATGACTGCACTCTATAGGTGAAGAAGAAGAGTTGGAGAGGACAAGGGCTGCCTGAGGTCACAGTCCTGTCAGGGCTGGACTTAAAGAGTCCAAGCCCTTCAGTGCAACCTACAACTGTCCACTCCTGCCTAGGCCTGTGAAGGCTTATATAGGAGGCATGACATGGGATTTAACTCTGCCTGGTGGGCCTGCAGAAGGTTCTGTAAAAAGACCTGCTAGCTGGCTCATGAGCTAGATTCCCGGGCCCATAGTGAGAGGCTGAGACCTCATGCTCTGCACTTCCTCCTCTTGGGGAGACAACAGCCTTTCCCAGGGTAACACCGTGATGGGTGGAATTCAAGGAGCTGTATTTGTGGAGGGTGGACAGGAAGGTACTGTCTTTCTTATATACAAACACAATGTGTTGTACCGTGTATCTCAAGGTCCTTTGAAATAAACAGAATAATCACAAAATTAAAATTAATAGCCAGCCCTTGATGGGCCCCAGGGCTTTGAGATTCTATGGCTGCTCCAAAGGTGCTGAGGGCAGGTTTGTGGTCTCTTTCGGTTCAGTAAAAGTACAAGCCCCTCAATGACCCTTAGAGGTCTCTCTTTCCTCTGCTCTTAGATTGGACATCTGTTCCCAAGTCACAGCAGGTAAATTGTGTAGTTTCCTCCATTTAGCTGTGGGAGAATCATGGGTGCCCAGCACCCTCTAGTGGCCAGTGAGACAGCTGGCTGGGGAAATTAGGTGGCCCTACCTTCTGTCTTGTAAAGGGGCTCTGGGGATCTCCCTCCCTGCATGCCCCCACCACTATAACCCAGGTCTCCTCTCTGGCTCTTCTAGCTTTAGCTTGGTTCTTCCAGTTCACAACTCAATGTCCTTCCCTGCATGAAACCCTGAAGTGTCCAGGTCCTGAGTATTGGCCCAAACGCCTCACAGCTTGGACCTAGTTTTACCTCTCTAGACTTCACTGGCCCCTCCCTACCACATCCCAAACCTTTCCCACCTCCTCTAGCTGCACACCCTCTTGTTTCCCTGAGTCCTCACAGGCTGTCCCTTCTGCCAGGGTACCCACCTCCTCTGCTATGCTGCCTGCCCCTTGTCTCTGGGTGATAGACCTCTGATCCTCTAGGCCCTGATTAAGTTCACCACAAAATATTCCTCACTCTAACCCCCGCCCAGGATTGGTGAGTCTCTCTTTCCTCTGCTCTTAGATGCTACTGAAGATGTCCTTCAGGCTAGTGTGCCCAGCAGTAACTGGATGGCCCAGTGATCCACTTGCTGCTCCCTTCAGCACCACAGCTCTGCCCTGTTGCCTGACCATCCTTACCATAGATCTTGAAGGCATAGTTTGCCTTGAGCTCTCGGGGAGCCGATTCACAGAGCACGGAGAACATGTCCACAAAGTCGTTGAAAGTGAGGTTCCCCTCACCATCCTCAGAGAAGGACTCCACAATCCTTTCTTTGAAGGGATTCTCCTGAGGAGAACAAGCACAGCCATCACTGGGGGTAGGTGAGCTGGGGGACTTGGAGCCAGACTGCAGACAGTGTGCAGTGTGTGGCCTTCAGAGTGAGACAATAATCATACCTCCTGAATGGGTTGTTGGAGGAATCACCATGTTAAAGTGTGCAGGGCATTCATCCAGGACCTGGCACAGCATGTGTTCTCTCATGCCACACGGGATCCTTAGATGAGTACGGCAAGGCTGAGCAGAGCCTACGAGTGCAGGAGCCCTGGCCTCAGTAAGGCAGGAGTACCATCCATCCCATTTTCCAGAGGCACACACACAGGCTCCTGCCTCCATGTACTGGGTTCTGCCCTTGACAAAAGAAGACAGCCTTCAGCTCAGGCTAATTCAGGCCAAGCAGGGGGTAAGATGGAAGTAGGGCCCTAACTTCAGACGACTGGACCAAAACAAGCAACAAGAGTCAGAGGTGGTCTGCTACCAGCCTCCTGCCAAGCAGTGGCTCCTTTGTTCTCACTTCCAACACTGCCTCACTCCTTCTTGTGATGCCAAATGCTGTGTTTTGAATGAGAATGTCCCCTATAGGCTTAAGTGTTTGTATATTTGGTCAGTTAGTAGTGCTGTTTGGGGAAGGTCATGGAACCTTTAGAAAGTATGGCCTAGCTGGAGGAGGCACATCACTAGGGGCAGGCTTTGAAAATTTATAGCCTCATCCTGCTTCCATCTTGTTCTCTCTGCTTTCTGTGCCTGCTGGAAAATGTGAGCTTTTGGCTTTCTGCTCTGGCTGCCTCCTGCCATGCTTCCCCCACCATGATGGACTCTTACCCTCTGGAACCGTAAGCCCAATAAACTCTTCCTTCAATAAGCTGCCTTGGTCATGGTGTTTCATTATAGCAACAGAAAAGTAAATACTACCCCATATCACTTGTGGCCCACATTCCTTCTATCCCAACTGGCCAGCTCAGATCAGCTGTGGAGGCTTGAAAACAAAGTCTGTGGTACCTAGAGTGCCTCACACTCTCCATGATACTCAGCCTGGTCTCTCACTCTCTCTAGGTCAGGTGGTGCTTGTCCAGGACCAAACCTAGGCTCATCATCTCTCAGGAAAGAGGTCAACCAGAGTGCAGGCCCAAGGGGATTCTGTGCAGCATAAGCCATAGGCCTGCCAAGTCCCACAGCACTGTGGAATTGTGCCCAAATGCTTCTTACTGTAGGAGCGTCCTTTCCATATCTTGAGTAAGAAATTCAAGAAACATCCAATGTGTAGGTGGTCTGAGGACCAGACCAACAGCCTCATGGGAGCTGGCTGAGCCTATGCCAAATGGCCCAATCCAAATGGACATTCCAAAGACTCCCAGGAGGTTCAAGTCTGAGAAGTGTCACCACAGATAGCCAAACTGATCCCAGCAAGAAGCCATGATCAGACCGGGAGAAAGAAAAATTATTTGAAAGAGCAGACTAAGGGCTGCCAAGTACAGCTCAGGCCATTCCAAACAGTAGCAGGTAGGTGGGTACAGACCAACGGCTGGGCAGTGGGCAGCCACCAACTGACATCACACCTACTGAGCCTCACCCCCCTGCCCCTGCCATAGCTCATTTATGCACAAGTTGTAGATTAGGAAGCTGAGGCACAGGCTTTCTGAAGCTCTGCTTAGGGCTACATGTTCACAACAAATGGAGCCAGGGTTCAGTCTAGATCTGGCCTCTGCTGCCTGCCCAGAGGTGTGGATTCCCCATGCCCCAACCCACCAAGAGTAGCCTCCCACATACCCGGAGCTCCGGCATTTGGATGATGAGACTCATGGGCACATGGACGATGGGGCTCTTCCTGTAGTCCATCGGGACAAGGTTGGGGGCCAGCTCATAGAACCGTGCATGGAGCCTTCAAGGGAAACAGAGGAAAACTGCTAAAGAGTGCCAGCCCTGAGCCCCTGTGACCCAAGGTTGGCAAACTATTTGGGCTTAGGAAAACTAACCTCAGCCAGGTCTGAGTAAGGGACCAATAGGAGGTCACTAGCTCTGCCCACAGGAGGCATAGTTTAGAGGAGGCTTGTTCTGCTCAGATCCTTGTGATGACCCAATTGTGTCCAGGCTCTCCCTGTTTTCAACACACACACACACACACACACACACACACACACACACACACACACACACCGCCACCACCACTTTCCTCCCCCACACTACTCTCCTACCTTCCTGCCCCCTCTCCTAGCCTGACAACTAGATTCTCCCTCTTTCTCTTCCTCTCCTTCTTCCCCCCCGCCCCGCCTTGATCCCTTGCTCCCTCCCTTTCTCCCTTTGGGCTTTCTTAAGAGTCTTCTGGGGCTGGAGAGATGGCTCAGCGGTTAAAAGCACCAACTGCTCTTGCAGAGGACCTGGGTTCAATTCCCAGCACTCACATGGCAACTAAGAACCGTCCTTAACTCCAGTTCCAGGCGAATCTGAAGTCTTCTGATCCCCGAGGCATTGCATGACACGGGTGCACTCATATACATGCAGGCAACACACTCATACACATAAAATAAAAATAATAAATAAAATA